AAAACTATGTATGGTTCCTGCCTCCACTACTTCACTTGCTAGGCTATTCCACTTGCTGACAACTCTATGACTGAAGAAATACTTCCTAACGTCCCTGTGACTCGTCTGAGTCTTCAGCTTCCAGTTGTGACCCCTTGTCCCTGTGTCCCCTCTCTGGAACATCCTATCTCTGTCCACCTTGTCTATTCCCCGCAGTATCTTGTATGTCGTTATCATGTCTCCCCTGACCCTTCTGTCCTCCAGTGTCGTCAGTCCGATTTTCCTTAACCTTTCCTCGTACGACATTCCCTTGAGCTCTGGGACTAGCCTTGTTGCAAACCTTTGTACTTTCTCTAACTTCTTCACGTGCTTGACCAGGTGTGGGTTCCAGACTGGTGCTGCATACTCCAGTATGGGCCTAACATACACAGTGTACAGTGTCTTGAACGATTCCTTATTAAGGTATCGGAACGCTATTCTCAGGTTTGCCAGGCGCCCGTATGCTGCAGCAGTTATTTGGTTGATGTGTGCCTCCGGTGATGTGCTCGGTGTTATGGTCACCCCAAGGTCTTTCTCCCTGAGTGAGGTCTGTAGTTTTTGTCCACCTAGCCTATACTCTGTCTGCGGTCTTCTTTGCCCCTCCCGAATCTTCATGACTTTGCATTTGGCTGGATTGAATTCGAGAAGCCAGTTACTGGACCACATGTCCAGCCTGTCCAGGTCTCTTTGCAGTCCTGCCTCATCCTCGCCCGATTTAATTCTTCTCATCAACTTCACATCATCTGCGAACAGGGACACTTCAGAGTCTATTCCTTCCATCATGTCGTTCACATATATCAAAAATAGCACTGGTCCTAGAACTGACCCCTGTGGGACCCAGCTCGTGTGTGTACATATGTTTTGTGTCATTCCTGTGTGGATGTGTGTGTGTATATATGTTTTGTGTCACTCCTGTGTGGATGTGTGTGCATATATATGTTTTGTGTCACTTCTGTGTGGATGTGTGTGTGTATATATGTTTTGTGTCACTCCTGTGTGGATGTGTGTGTATATATATGTTTTGTGTCACTTCTGTGTGGATGTGTGTGTGTATATATATATGTTTTGTGTCACTTCTGTGTGGATGTGTGTGTATATATATGTTTTGTGTCACTCCTGTGTGGATGTGTGTGTGTATATATGTTTTGTGTCATTCCTGTGTGGATGTGTGTGTGTATATATGTTTTGTGTCACTCCTGTGTGGATGTGTAAGTAAGTAAGTTTATTCACGTATACACAAATACAGTTACATAGATTATCATACATAGCAAGCCTATCTGATGTTATCCTGACGCCGAATGACTTCGAGCAGGCGATAAATGACATGCCCATGCACTCTGCCCCAGGGCCAGACTCATGGAACTCCGTGTTCATCAAGAACTGTAAGAAGCCCCTAACACGTGCTTTTAACATCCTATGGAGAGGAAGCATGGACACGGGGGTCGTCCCACAGTTACTAAAAACAACAGATATAGCCCCACTCCACAAAAGGGGCAGTAAAGCAATAGCAAAGAACTACAGACCGATAGCACTAACATCCCATATCATAAAAATCTTTGAAAGTGTCCTAAGAAGTAAGATCGCCACCCATCTAGATACCCATCAATTACGCAACCCAGGGCAACATGGGCTTAGAGCACGTCGCTCCTGTCTGTCCCAACTACTGGATCACTACGACAAGGTCATAGATGCATTAGAAGACAAAAAGAATGCAGATGTAATATATACAGACTTTCCAAAAGCCTTTGACAAGTGTGACCATGGCGTAATAGTGCACAAAATGCGTGCTAAAGGAATAACAGGAAAAGTTGGTAGATGGATCTATAATTTCCTCACAACTTTTCCTGTTATTCCTTTATCACGCATTTTGTGCGCTATTACACCATGGTCACACTTGTCAAAGGCTTTTGCAAAGTCTGTGTATATTACATCAGCATTTTCTTTGTCTTCTAGAGCATCCAGGACCTTGTCATAGTGGTCCAGTAGTTGGGACAGACAGGGGTGACCTGCTCTAAACCCATGCTGACCTGAGTTGTGTAGCTGATGTGTATCTAGATGGGTGGTGATCTTGCTTCTCAGAATTCTTTCAAAGATTTTTATGATATGGAACGTTAGCGCTATCGATCTGTAGTTCTTTGCTATTGCTTTACTGCCCCCTTTGTGGAGTGGGGCTATGTCTGCTGTTCTTAGCAGCTGTGGGACGACCCCAGTGTCCATGCTCCCTCATCATAGGATATTAACAGCACGTGATAGGGGCTTCTTGCAGCTCTTGATGAACACGGAGTTCCATGAGTCTGGACCTGGGGCAGAGCGCATGGGCATATTATTTATCGACTTCTCGAAGTCATTTGGCATCAGGATAATATCAGATAGCTGTGTGTCTACCAAATTCTGTGTCTCTCTCAAAAAAAAAATTCATTTAGGTCTTCGACTCTCAGTCTGGTTAGCGGCTCGCTAAAAACAGTCATACTGGGACTTGAGTAGCTCACTCATTTCCTTGCTGTCATCTGTGTAGGACCCATCTCGTTTAAGTAGGGGCCTAATACTGGATGTTGTTCTCGACTTTGATCTGGCATAAGAAAATGAATATTTTGGGCTTTTTTCAATTTCATTCATGTCTGTTAGTTCTTCCCGCATTTCTTGACTCCCGTAAGATTCCTTTAGCTTTAGTTCGATGTTTGCTATTTCTCTGACCAGTGTCTCTATGTATTGCTGATATATTGGCCTCTTTTAGCTGCTCTTTTATTCTTTGCCTTCGCCTGTATAGGAAGTGCCCTTCTCTTTCCAGTTTACATCTTAATTTATGGAATCAATAATTGCCGAGGCAGTTCGTAGCCACCTTGAAAAGCATAAATTAATCAACGAATCTCAGCATGGTTTTACAAAGGGGCGTTCCTGCCTTACGAATTTATTAACTTTTTTCACTAAGGTATTTGAGGAGGTAGATCATGGTAATGAATATGATATTGTGTATATGGACTTCAGTAAGGCTTTTGACAGGGTCCCACATCAGAGACTATTGAGGAAAATTAAAGCACATGGAATAGGAGGAGAAATTTTTTCCTGGATAGAGGCATGGTTGACAAATAGGCAGCAGAGAGTTTGCATAAATGGGGAGAAATCAGAGTGGGGAAGCGTCACGAGCGGTGTTCCACAGGGGTCAGTGTTGGGCCCCCTGCTGTTCACAATCTACATAAACGACATAGATGAGGGCATAAAGAGCGACATCGGCAAGTTTGCCGATGACACCAAAATAGGCCGTCGAATTCATTCTGACGAGGGACATTCGAGCACTCCAGGAGGATTTGAATAGACTGATGCAGTGGTCGGAGAAGTGGCAGATGCAGTTTAATATAGACAAATGCAAAGTTCTAAATGTTGGACAGGACAATAACCATGCCACATATAAACTAAATAATGTAGATCTTAATATTACGGATTGCGAAAAAGATTTAGGAGTTCTGGTTAGCAGTAATCTGAAACCAAGACAACAGTGCATAAGTGTTCGCAATAAAGCTAATAGAATCCTTGGCTTCATATCAAGAAGCATAAATAATAGGAGTCCTCAGGTTGTTCTTCAACTCTATACATCCTTGGTTAGGCCTCATTTAGATTATGCTGCACAGTTTTGGTCACCGTATTACAGAATGGATATAAATTCTCTGGAAAATGTACAAAGGAGGATGACAAAGATGATCCCATGTATCAGAAACCTTCCCTATGAGGATAGACTAAGGGCCCTGAAACTGCACTCTCTAGAAAGACGTAGAATGAGGGGGGATATGATTGAGGTTTATAAGTGGAAGACAGGAATAAATAAAGGGGATGTAAATAGTGTGCTGAAAATATCTAGCCTAGACAGGACTCGCAGCAATGGTTTTAAGTTGGAAAAATTCAGATTCAGGAGGGATATAGGAAAGTACTGGTTTGGTAATAGAGTTGTGGATGAGTGGAACAAACTCCCAAGTACCGTTATAGAGGCCAGAACGTTGTGTAGCTTTAAAAATAGGTTGGATAAATACATGAGTAGATGTGGGTGGGTGTGAGTTGGACCTGATAGCTTGTGCTAACAGGTCGGTTGCCGTGTTCCTCCCTTAAGTCAATGTGACCTGACCTGACTAGGTTGGGTGCATTGGCTTAAGCCGGTAGGGACTTGGACCTGCCTCGCATGGGCCAGTAGGCCTTCTGCAGTGTTCCTTCGTTCTTATGTTCTTATGTTCTTAAGTGTATGTGTGTGTTCCCCAGTGTGCGTGTCTTGTAGCCCCAGTATATATGTGTGAACATGTTGATAAATTAGACACATGTGCAACTCTTGGGTATCTTTATTGAGGAAACGTTTCGCCACACAGTGGCTTCATCAGTCCATACGTAGGAGAAACTTGAAGAACAGGAGGAGAATGAGGTAATCAGTCCCTCAACCTTGAGTCGATGTGTTCAGTCCATCAATCTATTCAAGATTGATGGACTGAACACATCGACTCAAGGTTGAGGGACTGATTACCTCATTCTCCTCCTGTTCTTCAAGTTTCTCCTACGTATGGACTGATGAAGCCACTGTGTGTGGCGAAACGTTTCCTCAATAAAGATACCCAAGAGTTGCACATGTGTCTAATTTATCAACATGTCGGTTCTCTGAACCATTCATCTACAAATGTGTGAACATACATGTGTCCCAAAGTGTGGATGTATAAGTGTACATGTGTCCCCCAGTTTGGATGTGTGAGGGTACCTGTTTTGTCTCCCCCAGTACAGATGTGTTAGTGTACTTGTTTATCCCCCAGTCTACATATTTTGTGGCTCCAGTGAAGATGTGCGAGTTTATATGTGCATCCCCAGTATACATGTTCTGTGTCCCTCCAGTGTGGGTGTGTGAGTTTACATGTGTATCAGCCAGTGTACATATATGTGTTCCAAGTGTGGTTGTTTGAATGTACACGGTGTTCCTAAAGTAGCAGGTTGAGTGTCTAAAATGTGTGTGTTAGCAGTGTTAGCATGTGGACCAGGGGAGGACACCAATGCCAGATGCATTCTGAAGAAGACCCAGTGCTCACCCATCACCAGGATCATCTCAGGCCCTCAGGGACCAGTTGACACCCTCATCAGTTGTGCTAACCAAACTGGAGTTTTTCTCGACCCTGTCTTCTTCATGAGCATCGGTCAGTAAACCGCCAGTATACAATACGATCTAATCTTCCTCAATCTTAAAATATGTGAACCATCACTTTTTTTCATATGCAGCAGATTTTAACAATATGCGCTAACCTTCCACAACTCTTAATTTTTCTGTGTGGCCAAAAGTTTTTCAAAACGTTACACCAAATAAAGCAAACAATTACTGGCTTAGCCCTTTTCTTTTTGTTCTGATTGAAGCTATTATTCGGTTTCCACAGGTCTGGCTTTCTTGCAGGGCAACCCTGAGTCACTGACCGATCAGGTGTCTCCCGACTCAGCAACCTCCTCTGGCATACGTCGCTGTATACTCAACGCTACCGGTCTTGTCAGTACTACGTCATTACTACGTCATTTAGTTTAATATCTTTATTATGCACCCCATACCCATCCTGTAGGCGGTAGTCAAAAGATTACAAAGGTACATAATGGGTCCAGGGACTAAACACTTATTTTTGTGACCCGGTGGTCTGGTGGCTAAAGCTCCCGCTTCACACACGGAGGGCCCGGGTTCGATTCCCGGAGGGTGGAAACATTTCGACACGTTTCCTTACACCTATTGTTCTGTTCACCTAGCAGCAAATAGGTACCTGGGTGTTAGTCGACTGGTGTGGGTCGCATCCTGGGGGACA